CAAACATAAAATGAGTTTTTTTGAAATTTATGTTTTCTATATTAAGTTCAAATAATTCTGTGCCCTCTGCCAAATCAAATTTTTGAGGTTAGGAACACAAAATTAGTTGAACAACTTAATATGTATTTTTTAAGCTTAAAAACATCTATTTCGAACCTATATCCACCCTAAACCTAAATCGTCCCTACTTTCCCCAAGTCATATGACTTTCGCCACCGTTCCGAACATCTGAAATTTGTCAACACATTTGTCGAAAATCAAAAATACGACCGAATATTTTGGTGTAAACAGGGCCGTTTACTCAAGTAAAGTTAACATACTCAATCGAAGCAAAGTCGACAACACAATTTACAGAATTTCCGGGCTCTTGAGCATTGTCAACATCGGATTCAGCGTTGGCTGTTCCTGGTACAGGAATGACCATGTTCCTGGTACAGCAGGAACGACCAAAAATCAATGTGATTTTTAAGCTATTTTCGAAAAAAATTTAGATTAAACTTATGTTTTAGACATAAAAATAGTTTTTAGCCATTAAAAACTATAATATAACACTTCTAATTTTAGATAACACCCCCTTTTGTTAACAAAAAATCGCCCCAGCCAAAAACACCACAATCCAATGCTACGCCAAAGGGTTAAAGTAACAAGCTTTGCCTCAAAAATCGTTTTTTATTGAAATAGCTAGCCAAAAAACATCTGTTTCATCAGAAGCTAGCCTCGAAAAACGCCGTTCTAACCAAATTTCGGCGGCCAAGAACAAACAATGCTTGCATAAAAAGAAAGAAAACAAAAAACAGCTTCCTTATAGTAAGCAAAAATAAATATCCCCGTTTCGCCATGTTAAACGACAAAAAAGGTCAATTTGATTTAGGATAAGAAGGTAAAGCGGTGGAGAGATAACTTTACTCTGAGGTAAAGCTGAGGTAAGCCAGAGCTAGAACTAATACTGAGACTAAGGTTAAAGCTAGGGCTAAAGCTAAAGTTAGAACTAAAGCTAGGGCTAACGCTAGGGCTAAAGCTAGGATTAAAGCTGGGCTAAAGCTAAAGCTAAGGCTAAAGCTAGGGCTGAAGCTAAGACTAAAGCTAGGGCTAAGGCTAGGACTAGGGCTAGGATTAAAGCTAAAGCTAGGGCCAGGCTTTCTCACCCAAAAAATCGTCAGTGTCAACATTAAAATTCTTTTTGCCATGTCATAACATGTTCACCAAAAAAAATTAATTTTGTCAAAGTACCGTATACATACCGTGCCTTATAATACAGTACAAAAACCTTCAAATTATTTATTTCGTATGTATGTACTGTTTTCCTTAAAAAAATATGTTTTTTTTCGATAATCAATGATTAAATAAAAGACAGCCGTTCAAAGAAGGAAAAGAGAACGGCCGAACGTGCTGTGAGGGTGTGTGATTGTAGGTGGATTTAAACCAAAAAGTCAGAAGAAATTGTTTTAAAAGCTGACAAAAAAGTTGGAAAATTAAAAAAAAAAAGTTCTTTAAGACGGCAGAAGATCATGACTACCTCCACCTTAGCCTGGGATTTAGTCCAGGCAGTTCCACTCCCTTTTGGCCCCTTTTACCCCTTTCTTTCGCTTAATACACCTCCGCCAAAACTTTTCAGCCGACCTTAAGATTTTCCCGCCAACCCCAAAACCTTGCCAGCCATGTATGTGGCCAAGAAAAACAAAGAAATTGATATCAAAAACCCAAAAAACGTCCAAAAATCAGAGAAAAAAAACGAATTTGAGCGAACAATTTGGTCAGGCGACAATGTTTATAAGAACATCCGGGACGCTGCGAATGTTGCGATAAACGTTGGCTTTAAAATAGAAATACAGTCGACATTGTTTATATTGTAGACAGTTTGGATAACAAAATCAGAACAAAAAAATAAATCAAAAAAGTTTTGGCAATTTTTGATCTTTAGGAATTTTAGAGTACAGATAATGTCACAAGCTATATCATAAAGTTAACTCACAATAAACTGAAAAATATTGTAAATTTGTATATTTTACATCTTCGAATTTACTACAGTAAAACAATAAAAGACGTTGCGAAGTTCTTTTCACCAAAAAAAAGTTTTATTTCCAGCAGCTCTAACTAAAATAATATTTTCTTATGCTTTGAAGCACTGCAAGTTAATAGATAGAGTAAAGTTAACCAAAGCTGCTGTATAAAATACTTCATAGTGTTGTCTTTAGACTAGAAAAAAATCAAGAAGTTCTGTAATACCGATCTTTTAAAAAACGTAATTTTTATACCTACACCACCCTGTACAATACCAGAAAACGTTTTTTTAAATCAAAAAAACTTTGAGCTAATTTACATATAAAAAATTTAAAAACGTCATAACTTTCCTATAGCCTTAATACCATAATTTTCTCTTAACTCAATATCTTAAAAATTAGCATAAAACCCCCCAAAACAACCTTAACATTATTACTCCACGAAACCAAAACCGTTCGCCCCAAAAACCGAATTCAAATCCCAACAAACAAAACATAATATAATCCAAGGAAAGCGGAGAAAAAAAAACTTTTTCCCCTCCGGGTTTGCGTAATATGGAGGGCGAACGGGGAGAGGGAGGGGTGGAATAGGCCGCTCTCTTCGGCCCCATTCTTAAGTTTTGTGTTTTTCCCGAGTTATGGGATTTCTACTCGAATGACGTTCGGCAAAGGTCAAACCACACGTTCTAATTGTTTCGAAATGATCCTCGTTTATCGTTTTATACAAGGATATTGTAAGAGAGTATGAGAGGAAGGGAGGAGAAGAGGTAAAAGAAATAATATTAGGCTCTTCCCATAATTCTGCGCCCCGTACCCCACAAATTTGCTTTGAGAAAAAGCGCAGAATTAAGTGAACAACCTAATAAATGATATGAACTTAGAGCTGGAAGCTTAAATTCTTGCAAAAAAAATGGTGAGTTGATGAGTTTAGACAATTTTTTTTCACTAAAACAGCCAAATTTAAAAATTAAAATATTAGGTTGAACCAAAAGTAGCGGGACACTTTTTAGTTGAAATATAAATGAAAAGTGTCCCGCTAATTTTGGTTCAACCTAATAAGTTCATATCTCTTTTTTTAAAAGTTCAATGTGTTAAAAAGTAAAGTAATCCTCAAAAAAATTAAACCAAAGTTTAGGTAATGCTCTGCTATAAAATATTTAGCCAACTTAGTAAAAAAAAATTGCCCAATTCCAGGTGTTTTTTCTAAATATAACAATAAAAAAAGACTTTTTTTGATATGTTCTGTAGTAATAAATAATTAAGTATGATCTAATACTTATGACATTTGTAATAAGAGTACAATGACATAACTTCAAAATAATCTATATAACTCTGCGTATCTATGATATATAAGATAGAAGCTCCGGCTTCAGCCCCGGAGCAACACCTATACCCTTTTACTCCCGCTCTTACAGAGCCTGAAGCCAAGGTGTAAAAGGAAAAAGGCCGATTAAAGCTTACATGGACCCGAGATTGTTTTCGCATGAATCCAACACAACAATCCAATTGCATTGTGCGTTGTCGGCACGGCCCGAGACAATAACACCCGCGAATTGGTGCACTCTGCTTTCTAATCACATTCTCCATTTAACACTCCACTATAACGACAACAAGATTTCTTTTTTCTTGTGTTTAAAAACGAATGGCAAACACACACGGCACGGGTTTGATCAAGGTATTTTCTTTGATAAAAAGCTATTTATATAATTTCTCAAAAAATATTTTTCAATCGAAGAATTTTATTTAAATGTTATAATTTTTATATGTGATATCTCGTATTTTACATTCTTATACAAGCTATCTTTCGTCTAAAGTATAAATTTTTTAAATTGATGCCTAACTTTAGAGCTATAACAAAAAAAGTATCAGCGCATCCAAGCGGATTCGAACCCTCGACCTTTACTGCACAATGAACGTTTTAAAAACCCCTATATAAAATGTTACAGTATTCCAAGAAAAAAAATCATAAATTACAAAAATTTTCCCTTTAAACTTAAACGTCTTTTTGGTATTCAATTACGTCAGTTTGACAATGGCATTTCAAAAAAAAATTAATCAGTCATACCATGCATAATATAAATTTTCAAAAAAGATACTATAAATGCTATTCTCTTTGTAAAAAAAATAAAAATTGAGTAGAGATTTTGTTTCAAAATATTTTTAAAAATAAAAGTTTTATTAGCCAAATCTGTAAGGAAACAAGATTAGCGAAATCTCCCCCTCCTCTTCCCCCTACGTGAGTTTCTTTACACTAAAACCTTGGTGCTAAAAACGTATATTTTATGTAAAGAAAGTATTTTCTAATTTCAAAACATTAAAAAATACTTATTTTTAAAGAAATAAACCTCAAACACCGTTATTTAGGTTTCAGCCTAAATTTGCACTGAAAATGCAAAAAATAGGCGTAAAAATACAAAATTTTTATTTTTTTTAAAAAACTTTAAAATCAAGCCAATCTTTTTTGGCTTGATTTTAGTTTTTTAAGTCTAACAGTACCCCCAAATTAAAAAAAATATATAAAATGCCTCTGCCCAACCCGGAACCTAAGTCTACTCTATATTACCCATAAAAATAATAAAAAGCTTTGCGTATATAAAGTTAACAAACCTATAAAGCCCTTTGGCTTTTGAGCAAATTAAAGACCATAAACTGAAAGAAAGTAAAAAGTTACTCACAAATTCCAAGGCCAAACACTATGACATTAAAGCCATAACTGCTGCTATGTGCCGCCTCGAGAGTTTAAAACAATTTGCTTTAATTTGATTAGCTAATAAGAGTTTAATACCTATGGTTTTTGGTTGTGATATGCTTGTTTTATAGGTTTTTGAGTTACATTTTATTACTCTCTGATTTTTGATGTTATTATCAAAATTGTGAAAAGTTTATGGAAATTCAGTTATGAAAATTGAAAATTGCTGTGAGATATAGCTCATTACTTTTTGAACAACATAATGGCATTATATACCATAAACGTGCCCGGGACTGTACAAAAAATGTAATTTAAAACTAAAAAATGAAAAGAAAACATTTTTTAATTTTGCAAATAAATTAACAGAGGGGACCAAGTTGAACTTTTTTTAATTTTTTTTAATTTAAAATTCTCAATCCGTAGGAAAAAAATTTTGCCCTTACCTAGACAAGAGAATTATTGCCCTTACGACCAAATTCCATCCTAATATACCCTAAAATTTGCTCTTCTCAAACCAACCCCTCCTCTCCCTCTACCCTTACTACTATATATCCCAAAATCTTTAAAGCAAACCCAAAGAACTCGTATTCACTTTACACTTTTGAAAGCGAAATTTGCTGATTAGTGACAAAGTAAAATTAAATACCATGTAATCATAATGCAGATTACGACGCAAAAACCCGAAAAAAGTGTTATCATCGTGAGTGCCGTCCCCAGAGAACGCCAAAGAGGATTTCGCGGGTTTTAAAGGAGAAAAGCGGCCGAGAAACCCACAGATTTGAATATCAACATCTTGTTTTAATATTAAAGAATAGGGCAAGTGCATTGTGTACTACATAGTATGGCAAAGTGGTTTTTAAGGCACAAAGGCATGGGTTATAAAAGGACAAGTTGGCAGTGAAAAAAAGTGTGATGAAGGGGGGGGGGAGAGATGGAGAGAATAGAGCAAGAAAAAAAAAACAAAAAACAGGAAAGGGGGAAAGGTAAAATTTTTTTTGGTAAAAAAATTTCGAAAAAAAAATTTTTTCTCCTCCCCCCCCCCCTCAAAAAATTTAAAACGCCCCAACCAAAAAATAAAAAACAATCTTCCCCAGCCTCTTACCGGTGTGTAGACAATCATAAGATGTGAGCACTTAGCACAGCACGTGCATCGGTAGTCCTGAGAACAAGCTCTACATTGACTGACCAACTGCAGCTCTCTACCGCCGATCCCGGCCAATGAGGATGAAGCCGAACTCGGAGCACAGTGAGATGAATTTGAACCTCGCGATGATACACTGGTTTGTTGTGGTCGATTGTGACGTCGAGTGGCTGCTTGTTGAACTTGAGCTAGTCGGTCATCACTTGTTGATGAACAGATCGATCCTCGTTGACGTCGATGCTTTTCATCAATGTTCTGAACCTCCAAGTCTGAACATGATCGTGCTAGTTGAGTAGCCAGTTTGGCAAAGGCTGTCTGACTGAATGGAGCGAAACGTACTGAAGACGTGCTTGCTTTGGGTTTGTCCATTGATTTTGGCTTATCCATTGTTCGACTAGATTGTAATATAATATTGTTGAAAGCCAAGAAAAATTGTAGAAGTATGAGATGAAGTTAAGAAATCATCTACAAGGCTGTACGATGATGGAAAAGTTGAGCATCTACTGAAGGTTTAGAAGAGTAGAAGGGCTTTTATGTTATCACCATAACAAATGGTGTTTAGTACTGTTGCTAGATCAATTTGAAAAATTTTTTAGAGTACCGTTGTCTTCAAAAACAGGTAAAACAATATATATGTTAAAGAGCAAAATTAAGTTTTTGTAGTGTGGAATATTGAGTTTTTTAGCTGTAAAGTTGATTGTAGATGAATATCAATGTAAATTAAAATTTAAAATAAAAGCCTTTTAGGCAATGGAAGTAAACGTAGATCAGCTGTTAGATGATTTGAAGTGATCAAAGTCTGCTCTTAGCAATTTTTAAAAGCTAAACATGTAGCAAAAATAGCTTTATTTTACCACTTTTTAGCTGATATTAGCCTTTTTATCGCTTCTTGGCTTATTTAATGATGGGTATAGGTTGAAGTGATAAAAAAATCGTCTTGAAGTTTGAAACTCCTGAAGTTTTTAACTCAAAACTTTAATATCTGTTTCAAAGCTACGTCGAGATTTTTAAAGATTTTGCCAAAATTCAAAGTAATTTGGACAAAACCCGAAGTAATTTTGTTGAAATATTAAAAAACCGGTCGAAATTTGAAATTCGGTCGAAATCCTCAGGAATTCCGTCGAAAAATCCACCAAACTCTTCCCAAAGAGTACCACTTCAACCAGCTGCTAATCCTCCAACAGTTCCACGAATAGCGCGCCGCACACAAGCATCACAAGGCTAACAATGATTAATTAGTACGTGTAATAACTGATTAGAGTTCTCGGCACGGAAAATAGAAGTTCCACAAATGTCGGATTAGATAAAAGACGCACGGCGTTATGGCCACCGGGCACAGAACAACAAAATTATTCTTTTTGATGACTCGAGGACGTTTGGAGGGCTCAGGTTCGAAATCAGGCCTTTATTTTGCCTCGCCCAACCTTTATTTTGACTAGAAATCGTTGTTTTGACTAGGTTATGAACTTGAAAGGTTTGGGGATTGCTTAAAGTCTTGTTTTTGAACTCAAATCTTGTCTTTAAACTTGAAAAACTTATGGTTTAAAAAATAATTTGAAATATTAAATTGTACAAAAAATATTGAGCTACGCCTCACGGCAAATATTCAAAAAAAAATCATTTACATAACCTAATATAAGCTTTAGAAATGCCTTTTAGCCAAAAAATTTACAAATATAGCTGAAATTTCAAAAAAGATTGTTACCTAAAATATAAAAAAGGCAAGTAATGCTAAAAATATATTCAAAAAGTACTAACACAGTTACAAAACAAGATTATATATTGCCAAGTTCAATCTTAAAATTCAATGCCGAACATCTTAAAAGTTTTCGCGGTAAGACCCAAAATTTTACAACATACCTAAATTAGCCAAAAAGACATTTTTATCCAAAATTGGGACCAAAAACGTAAAAAATAAATAAAAAACTTGTTTCATAAAATCAAGACAGATAAAAAACAAGAATCTTAATACCAAAACAAAGATAAGAATGATGTAGATGTAGTCCCAAGTATAACATTCATTTTGCCTTTAGACGCTTTTTTAAATTTTCCACAAACAGATTAGCGGATTTGCTAGACTCAACTTAAGGTCTCGCTAAAAAAGAAAGCTTTAAAACTAAATAAAACCGTAAAAAGTTAAGTGAATGGGTTACTTTTGGGTAGTTTTTCAGTTTAATACCGGCTTTGAAAATTTATAAAAAATAAAATCTTAAGCCCTAGCGGTAGGAATAGAGCTAAAAAAAGCCTAGAACCAGAGATAGGACTAGGACTAAGACTAGAGCTAAGGCTAGAGCCAGGGCAAAAGCTAGAACCGAATCTAGGGTTAGGGCTGGGCTAGCGCTAAAGCCAGGGCTAAGACTACCCAAATCAATTTAATGAGGAATGTCTTACTGGTTAGATGCCAAAAAAGTACAGTAAAGCTTAGGAAACTAGTTCTGTAAAGCAAATCAAGGCCTATAACCTAACTTTTCAAAACCAACCGAAGCCTAAAAATCCAAAAGTTTGAAATTCCGGAACCTTTTTCCAAGATTACAAGTAACAAAAACAAAACCTCACATTCCTTGGAGCAAACCGAGTAATAATGAATGCCCTAAATCAGCCCGTAACTGTAAATAAAACGTCAAAGTAATGTGGGTTTCCCGGAAAGTACCTCCGTACTCGTGGTATGATTAAATATTATTGTATAGTTTGTTGCCTTTTCTTGACTTAAAAGTGCATTTAAAATTTACAGTATGTGGGTAAAGTAAAAAAGGTAAATTTTTTAAAATTTGTTAAAATTTTTTTAGAGTAATGCCCCCCCCCCTCCCACGACCAAGTTTTTCCTCTTCGCTCACTGCCCGACCCTAAATAAAAAACAGCCAAAAATCAAAAAAAAACCCCAAAGCCACTATAAAACGTCATAGTATCATACCTACTTCCCATAGCATGTCACAAATTTCAAATGGCCCTCAACTACCTGTCACAAGTCCACAATGACCCGAGAAGCCTATTTACCAGGTGAAGCACAAATCTGAGTATGAAAAGTCCAGAAAAGGGCTTTCTTGTTGGCCGAATGTTAATAATCGAGGAAATGGAATAATCTTATATTAGACAGCCTCGAAGAATAATATACTGCCAATGGAATTAGCACGAAACAGAGTTGTTTCGAAGTAAAAACGTGATTCCAAATGTAATAATTCGAGTAACGAAGAACAGTATGGCATTGTTTTTTATTACTTGGCTAGGGCTAAAGTGTTGGCTCTGGCTCGGACTCAAACCCACGCTCAAGCTAGGACCAAGACCAAACCTAAGACCAAGACTTAGAATAAAACTAGGACCAGAATAAACTACTAACTATAACTTAAACTTAACTGTAACATTACCTACTAACAATTACCTACCTACGCTAAAAAAGACAAAAACCATGAAATGCATTACCGTTACCTTGAAATATTGAGCTGAAAAGACAATTTTAAATAACAAAGTTTAAAAATGTGTATATAATGTAATAAACAGCCATATAATGTAAAATCAAATTATTGCACTAATGTTCGAAAACAGGTGCAAACATTTCATTTACAAATCTAAGTTTACAAACCTATGATTATGCCTTAAAAACTTTAGAATTAGACACAAAAGCCTACTATAATATAAAATACATTAAAGAATAGCAAAATTATACTTTGAACTGATAAAAATTAGCAATATATTATACTTTTTTACTTAAAATTAACTAATATGGTTAAAAATATACGTTTATAAAGGCTATAATTAAGTTACGGCATAAAGAAACTTCTAAATTTATCCCATCAAAGATCTCTATTAAATTATAAAATAAAAAAATAATTACTTTAGACAGCAATAATTGTTGGCTAAAACAACTATAATTAAGTACCGAAAAAGATATTTTTACACTCCACCTATGTGTTACGACTACTGATTTAGACCTGGCTTCCGGGCAGGGCTTCAGCAAAATTCAAGTGGCCAAACCAAAGAAAAACTAAAGCGAGGCGGACTAAAAATTCGGCCCGGACCGAAAGCCACGTCTAAACTGAAGCCCTAGACATCATTTTGTTAAAGGGTTTTTTAAATACATAGATATCACACCGTATTTTACATTTATACTTTTTTGCACTAAACCAAAATTTTAAACTAAAAAAATAATTTAAAAATACCCGCACTTTTGCCAAAATTAATCCAAATTTTGAATTGTGCTATTCCAAATTGTAGATTTCCCAAATGATTTTCATTGGTATCGTGACAAAATAAAAAGCTACAACATTTGCATAGTGCACGCTATATTGTCTATGATTGTGAAAGAAGTGGCTTTTTGGTCAAAGTTGTAGGTAACTGTGACGTGAATAACATAAGAATTAACTTCGAAATCACATAAAGTTACTAAAGTTATTGAATTCTGACATAATACAAATAAAAAAAATTTCAGGATTTCGGAAGGTAAAAATACGGCTAGGAGCTACAATTAACATCGGGTTTAAAACTAGGATCAGGGCTAAAGATAAAGCTAATGCTTGTGCTAGAGCATAAACCAAATCTAAGGCTAGAGCTGGAGCTGAAGCTAGAGTCATAGCTAGAGCCATGGTGAGAGCCAGTTCAGATTCAGAGACTGAACGAGAGCTAGAGCCAGAGCTAAAGCTAGAAATAAATAGAAATAAGGATGAAGCTAGAACCATAGCTAGAACTTTAAAAGTCCTCACTCATCTACCAAATGCGTTTTTAAAACTTTATTTTTGTCGCTAGATCCAACCAAACCCAAAAATCTCGAATTCCTAGCTCAATTTCCCCAATAACCTAATGTAACTACGTCAGCCCAACACAATTACACTATAAAAATTAAATACTAGACTACCAATTGTATACAAGTAAGCAAAGGAAAACAAACAAATCTGGTGGGACTCGTACTCGAATGCCCTCAGGCACTTTCATTTCATTTTGCTGAGTTGGGGCTATGAAATCAGGAGGAAAGAGGAGAAAAACTTTACAAATGTAATTAAACTTGCTGTAATACCATTTACAATGGCATGGGTAAGGAATGTCACATGGTTTTTGAAAATTTTGATTTTTAATTCCTTTAAATTTTTTATTAGTATAGTCAAAAGTATAGTATCCTTAGCGTTAAACTTGGTAAAAATAGAAGGTTCAGACTATCGTTTATCAATTTGATAACGAAAATTATCAAAATAACCCAAAATTTAAATAAAAACCCTCATTTCCCAATAATATGCCACAAACCCACATTCTCCAACAATATACCCCATGCTCTAGAGCAGAAAACCGTTTTAAAACAGTTTTTATGAATAATAAAGCCCTCAAAGTCTTAAAAAATAATAAGCGATAAAAAGAAATGTAAAGCAGCCCTCTTAATAAGGGATTAGTGTAATGTTAATGAGCTGAACCTACCGCAGACACTGTCAGCTGCTCGCCCGAATACGGATTCTCCACCACTTTCGGGAGGAACTCCATGAAATTGCCGTTTTGACCGTTCTGTAATGTGAAATTTACATTTTTTAGGTTGAAGTAGATGAGTATGATACTCAAAATTATATTGTTTACCTTTACTTTATCATTCTTAAACTTTATTTTGTTTAAATTTTAATTTTTCCCGCCAAAATTTAAACTTTTCAAAAAAGCGATGTTTTGGTTTTTAAAAAAAGCCTAAAAAGCCTGAAACTAGTCTAAAATGTCAGTTTTTATTTATAATTTAAATATTTTTTGAATTTTAATTTTTTCGCCAAATTTTAAATAAAAAAAATTCTAAAAATTCACTAAAACCCAAATTTTTTAAAAATATTTAATTAAATTAATAAAAAATTTAAAAAAATACAAAAGTAGAAACTTACCATTTGTGGAGTCAATAGAGAAGCGACAGCTCGCAAACAACTGATAACCTGCGGCTGTAAGTCTCGGTTTTGAAGCATATCCATTACTAGGCCACGGGCTTCGGAGACGTTACCCTGAAGAAATATTTTAAAATAAAATAATAAATTTAAAATAAATAAAATAAAAATTTTATAACTGTTAAGCGATATAATGGCCCATGTTGCGTGCTGCAGCCTTAAAAACCATTGAGGAACCCAAAAAATTAAAATTGAATTTTGGCGGGAAATTTTCGATTCAAATGTTCAAAATCAACAAAATCCTCCAAAAACTTCAAAAATTTAAATTAAAAGAACCAAAAATCAAACTTAAAAACCAATTTAAAAAGCTGAACTACATAATGAGGAAGTCACTATATATACGAACATTTCTGATTCGTCTAGAATAATATTACTCATGTTCTCGCAAACGTAATCACGTAACCAAAGTCGTAAAACAATGTCGAAATACGATGTTATTATACTTGTTCTTTAATGTTTCTTTAGCGAAACATTTTTTTAAATTTAAAAATTGTTTTAAAAGTGAAAAATGCTAAAAGTTTTGAAAAAGGGTCTTTTAGCCTACATATTAATGTTCAAAGGCTTGTCATAGTCAAAGTTGATATAAAAGGGCCAGTTTTATCGTATTATAATGACTTGTAAGATCCACTGAGCCATGTTTTGTGTAAAAATTTATTTACCCCTCCCCTTCCTCTCTCGCCCGACAAAATAAAAAAAGTTGAGCGTGGCCCCCCTGCCAATTCAAAAAAGTTTTAAAAATCCGTGCTTATCAATTATTTTAAGTCCGACCCTCCCCATCCTCCCCGACACACTCGACCCTCCACGTCCTTCCCTACACACTCAAAACCCCGCTAATAACATATATTGAAGGACCAGTTCGCCCATTCAAATATCATTGGCATTCTGTCGCAAAAAGCGTCGAAAATCAGCCAATTTCAATCAAAATCATTTTTCTCAAAAAACGTGAGTGGGTCGGTGTCGAAATGAATTTTCCAATTTGGGACCGACCTGCTCAGGTTTTTTGCGAAAAAAATGAACGTCGAATTTTTGCGACAGAATGCCAATGATATTTGAATGGGCGAACTGGTCCTTTGAGTACCTCAACTATAAACTTCCGTTTTTAACAAACATTTTATTATAACAACCGAAACAAAACTAATTATTCTGTGATATATACTCTAACATTGTCTATGCCTTCTTTGCGGCATCCCTTCAAAACGTGAATGCCAGAACTGTAGAACAAGTTTCAAAAAAGTTATAATTTGTAAAAGTCCGCGGAAGTTTATAGTTGGAACACCTAATATTATCCATTACATGTAGACCATTACATGCCTTTAAATTGTAAAAACACTTTTACCCCTCCCATTTGCCGTTTTTTCTTTCTCCCGTTTCCTTCGTGTTTTTCGCATTTCTCATTTTTCACCGTTCCGTTCCGTTCTCGGCTTGCAAAAAAAGTTTCAAATTTTTAAAAGTTATGAAATTGTCAATTAGTTCTCGCGAGACGGAAACGATAAATAACAATTCAAAGAATTTAAAGTGGCATACGCTTTTTTACTGTAACACGAAAGAAGGAAGGTCTGAATATAAGAACAATATTGTATTTACTATCCTACACTACCCAACCCTGCCCTGCCCTAAACATTAAAAAAAATTTTTTAATTCTATTTTGAGTCCCTACCTGATCTCGCAGCCTGGGATGAAGTGTGGTATTGACTGGGAGTGAAGTACGACGATTTCGTAACGATTGGCTAGCCAAATCATTACTCTTTTCATTTCGAAAAGCATTTGTTGGCACTATAAAAACAAAGCTTGAAAACAATATAGTCAATGGGAAAGTAACAAAAACAACGAATGATCGAGTAATTTGTACAATCTTTTTCGTCAATAAAGATTTTAGGTATGAAATCGAAATAATTTTAAAATTTAAAATTTTAAAACTTTTAAAATTTAAAGAATTTTAAAAAACAAAAAAAAATTTTAAAAAACTTCACAACATATTAAACTTGACAGCAAGTGGTTAAAAAGCAGGAATTCTAGGAACTTACATGATTTATCAAACGTTACACCTTTGATAGAAGAACAACTGTCATTACTGTAATGACGATTCCTTGAGCTTTCGGAGATCTGAAAAAGGTAACTTTAAAAATCAATAATTTCATATAAATTGATAAGAATTTGTATTTCTTAAAAATAAAGTTTTGAGTATAAACAGGTAATTTGAAGGTAAAATACGGCATCAATTATTTTGACTGCAGGAAGATATAGCAAAAACCTTTCGTATTTTAAAAAATTCTAAACGAAATTTCAAGTTTTATACCTCATTTTAAAGCCAATTCTATAGAGTATCACATATGACAATATTCAGGTAATTTAGGCTTATATAGAAAATAAAAAAAAACAAAAGAAACGTTTTTTTTAACGCAACAGGGGGTACCAAGTTAAATCTGTACACAAATTTTTTCAAAATTTAAGTTTATAAAGTATGCTAAAAAGCAAAAAAAAATTAAAATTTAACCTACTGATGACACTCGATGAGACTCCTTGAGAATGGAATGTATTGAGTTGCCGTTACATCGCGACGCTGCCTCCGAATCGCTGGGAACGCGACGCATTCGTAGCACTAAAATCAAGGTATTAAAATACTAAATTTTTTATTTTTTGATTAGGAAAATGTATATATCTACATAAAAACGCAAAATTGTTTTAAAACTCTATATTAAATCGCAAAAACATAAAAATTTTAAAATAAAAGATATAAAAATTCAATTTAAATTTAACTTTTTTAAAATTATTCAATATCAAAATTCGAATTCAAATCCCCAAAATATCCAGAACCAAACGCAAATTTCAAAACTCTTTTTAAACACCTCAAAACCCCCTGAAGCACAAACAAAATCGACATTCCAAGCAAAAAATGAAAAATTCGACTTTTCTCAAAAAAACTCATAACGCCATGAGAAAGTGGACAGAACATACGACGATTTTACATTAATAATAAATTGGTTGCAAAACAAAAAAATTCCACGCATCTCGAGTTGTAAACAGTCAGCTGACTGTCAGTTACAATCAGAGCTGTCATTTTAACAGTTTATCAAAAAAATTTAAAAAAAAAGTATTAAAATGGAATTTTGATAAAAATTGTTATTGTAGTTAAAATAATTGGAAGACAGAGTTAGGGTAAAGCCAAGGCCAGAGCCAAGGCCAAAGCATGAGCTAGAGCTAGAGCTAGAGGTAGAGCTAGAGCTAAGGTTAGAACTGAGACTGGGACTAGACAGAGCCAAGTTTTAAGACTAGGTTTAAGAGACAGGTTGCAAGGCTGGAGCAAGGTCGAGCACCATGAACAGGTTTCAGAGTCGAAGCCAGGTCCAAAGACAAGTTTCAAAGGGAGTGTCCCAGAACCGGGTTCTCGGATCAAGCTCCAGGATCAAGTTCCACGACCACGTCCAAAGCCAGAACCAAAGCCAGAGCCAGATTCCAGGACCAGAGCTAGGTTCTAGAGCTAGGTTTAAAGGCCAGTTTAAAGTGTCAGATCCCAAGCTTAAGTTACAGATAAAAAGGCATTTATAAAGACGTTAATAAGAACTAATTAAAAACTGCAAACCAATACTTTTATAACAATAATTTCACTGATAGTGTCTAAAACGTGCTTTTTCCTCAGCTCTCATTTGTCATTTTTACAACCACAAGACCTTTTATTTTATTCAAATACCAAAAAACAATAAAATGCATTGTAAACATTGCATCAGGAGGAGAGAAATTGTAATCCTTTCTTTAGGAAAAACATTATTGCGTAGATGAATGCAAAGTATTAGGTGATACGACGTCGTATCTTGCAAAAACACGAGAAATCTCATAACTTTCGAGACAAAATTACGTTTTTACAGGTTTTGGTTAAGAAATAACTTTAAAAATTAAAAAAAAGTATTGTTTGAAACATTATCAAAAAACAAGAATTAATAGACTCTCAATATAGCAGTTCCGTTCTTACAAAGAAAATACCCGACCTGTCCCTCTCTGATTGACCTTTATCAGTTTTATATAGAAAATTCCTGTAAGTATAAGATCTACAGAGTACGAAATCGAGGTTTCCAGAAAATTTTGTTTTTTCTAAACGGAGCAGGTCAGACACAAATCCTTGTAAGTATATCTCCTTCAATAATGATCAAAAAGCTCGAATAAAAAGCTAGTACTAAACATAGTACGTATCGTAAAATGTGCTCAAGAACAAAATTACCAAAAAATAATAGATCAATACCTACTGATCAATTCAAGATATCAAACACTTCGAAGAGTAATCAAAAGTGCAGCCAACTTTTAGAATACAATTTACTGCAAAAAGTCTATAGAATTGACAACTTTTCTTTTCCTTTCCATTAATACGGTAATTTGATTTACATAGAACGCTTTGAATACAAACTAACTTACAACAAAAAAGACTTGATAAAAATAGAATTTATGATTTAGAAGTATTCTTAGAAAGATAATGGGTTTAAATTGGCAAAATTATACCTAAAATAATTTTTTTATATTTAAAAAAAATTTTGATATTAGCCTAAAAATTTTGAAAAACTCCCCAAATAGGCTTGTCTTTGATCACACAAAAATCAAAATTTAAAAATTAAAAAAAAAAAGAATAAAAGTTTAACTTTTTTAATTTCAAAAAGCTCTAAAACCAGCTCTCAAAAAGTTTCAAAATAAATGAAAAATGGTCTGCCAAAGACTACAAGAACGTCATCAAGTCATAGACCAATGCGTCAGACCTTTAATTACCCTTCTTTAACCCAAGGAACTTCCGTTAAAATTAGAAAAATAAAGTCGGTTTAATCAAAAAGTTTGAAACTTTTCACTTTTTTCAAAAATCTCCCCTAGAAATCGAAATGCCGGCGGGCGTTTGGGGGAAAAACCGCAAAAAACCTTCAAACTTTGCTTTTGCTCGTGAATTTTAAGTTTTATCAAAAGGTTTTATTTTAAAAGGTTTAGGTTTGATAAGCATGTCAAAAAAAGTATAGGTATGATAGGCAGGTCAAAAAATGCCATTCTTTAGCCTAAAAAAACAAAAAAAAATGTTTTTTAAGTTTAGCAAAGAATCAAGTAATCAATTAGAAATAAAAAGGTACCTACTAGGCTCAACCGGGCCAAGTCAAAACAAAATTGAAAAGATCTAGGCCGGCTCTGAACTCAATAACCGAAGCTCACACCAATGCACTAGGGGCCTACCTTAGGTCCCGCAGCGAAAGATTTGAATTGCAAAAAGGGTTCAAAACTATCCTCTATACCTTTTTTTTATTATAGGCCTAAGAAGCTGCAAAGTCAACCGTATTTTACTATAATAAGTAAAATGTAAAAAACCTTAAAATTTTAAAGTTTCACAATTAAAATCTTTTTTTTAATTTGCAAAGCCGTACGGACGAACACGTGAAAAGAATCGAACGAAATTGGATTCGAAACCGGAAACGCGCAATCTTTTTGATCGATCAATCAATTCATCCCGAGATCAAGACGCTGCAGAATTTGTAGACACTTCCGTCGCGTTTCGATTGTCATATATTACATAGTAAGCAGTTGGAGTTAGTGATATATTACATAGTAAGCAGAATTCGTTGATATATAACATAATAGTTAGATAGGATCGAGTCAGTGAGGCAATAGAGTAATAAGAGCTGGAATTTAAAAAGTTACGGTAATTTAGATACTTTTATAAAATGACGTTTCTTATTCCTTATCAGAAGTCTGTCATATAGCTTACCAAAAGTCTACTGTAACTTAGCAAAACCTAATTGTCCAACATGTATTTTACTATATGTCCTCCAGCCTTTAAATGAAAATTTGAAATTTTTCATTTTAAATTTTTTATTTCAAAAACCGTAATAAACTATGGCAGCCACTTCCCTTGAAACTAATATAAATTAACGCCAGATCACGAGCAATAAAACTTGACAAGGATAATATAAATAGTGAAAACGATCTCGTTAATTCCATCTGACATTGTACTTAAAAAATTAAAAAAGAACACTAAAAGTGCATTTCTACGCTTAATTTATTTTTAAGCTAAAAAGTTTTAGGTCAGAACAAGCAATTTGATTATAAAAAAGGTAGCTATCGTTATATGAAAGGGTAGATGCTCTTTGTTACAAAAAGTAAGTACCCTTTATGTATTAAAAAGGGCAGTTATTCTTCATCAAAGAAAGTAGGTGCTCTCCATTATTTAAATACCTTTCTTTAAAAAAGGCATATACCCTTTATTAAAAGTAGTAGATATCCTCGGTAGCCAGACTTTTTCTCTTAATCACTGTCCCTCCCCCCCCGCTCCAGTTTTTTCACAGCTCAACTATCTTTTGCCTAGCCCTAGGCACAGACAATAGTATTGGCAAGTTCAACTTTTAGAAATTCTCTATTTTAGCGAAATAGCAATTGCGCAGTAAATAAAAATAAAATGGCATTCTGTTAAAAACTCTCGTGAGTATAGTTAAAAGTATAATAGTAAATAACTTTAACTCTACAGTAAAAAAAAGTTAAAGACAAAATAAACAGTAAATGTTGTATATTTTTTAAAAACTATATGGTAACGCAACGTATTTTACAATTTTTTATTTGAACCAATTGTTATTGGCATGCAAATTTTAATTGCCTATTGACTATAAGATTACTTTTTCTATTGTCATCGTCGCTTTACTATACATAAAAGCAGAAGATAAGGAAGGTTATATTAGCAAAATTTTACTAATTTAAAAAAAAACTATTCAGCTGCGTATTTTACAAAAAACGTACATTTTAGCAATGAAAACAATTGTTAAACAAGGAAAAAAACTAAAAAAGCAAATCAAATGTTAACTAAACTAAAATCACGTTATGTGTTAATCAATTAGTTATCACGTTTACTCTGTTATAGTGCAAAAACTCACATCTTTGTCTGTGTAAAATATTGAAAAAACATATTTTTTATAAAAAAAACAATACAAAAGTTAATAAATGCCGTTAAACACTAATATATGTCAACAAACTATATACAATATATGCCTAGACCCCTATAACAATATTGCTTTCAAACCAACAACAATTCCAAATCGACGTGCCATTTATGATGATACCAGACATTGTCAAAAATGCCAATTATTTACCATCAAAATGTCAAAACATGCAAATTGTCAATTACCGTCCCAGCTAAACCGCCGACAAAACTCATCTCCCAGCCTAATCAGCTCGTTAACTAGGTTTGTCTTTTTGTTCATGAACAACAACATGACGGTATTTCCCAATAAGACCCGGAGGAAAACAACTGGAAAGTCTTTCCATTGTTTGCTTTTCCATAACTACATAGTTTTAAGCCTTGCCTTGCCTTGTCATATTTTAAAAAAACCGTAAAAATTTGAATTTATTTAAAAAACCTCCCTAACCTTTTTTATAATTTTAGTTAGTTTTCTTTTCCAAAACCCTAAGGCTGATCAGCAATAAATCTCTTTGAAACTTAATCCAAATGTTTTGAAAAACGAGCTCTTTTGATTTTCACACAATTTCCAGGACTTTTTAAAAGTTTTAGTGAGTTTACAAGCTTTGCAAATGTTTCGGCCTAAAGGCAAGTTATCTAGTCGATAAGACTTATATATTTAACTCT